TAAAAGCCAATGCAGTTTTATGAGAGGAGCTCGAGATGAGTTACTGCAAGTTAATTGATTTATTAAAAAATGACCTCTATACAAAACTTTCCTTTTGAGGAAAGGGCTTGATGTGAGATTTACCGATACTAAAGTATAATTAATATTTATAGACATGGGGATGGGGGGATTTTAATTGATTAGTTTCGTGGACTCTTTTACTTCTATAGAATGGTAGATAATCTATCCACAACTTGCAAAAAAGTTAACTCTTCTTTTTGATAACTTCTTCAAGCTGACCCTTTGAGTTGAAAGGGATTAAATCTTTATCCGTTGTTTTGAAATTCTGTGTACCAACACATATTATCACATCATATCTGATACCCCCAGTCTTTACCCCTGCAGCAGAAGATCCTTTTATTCTGTATGAATTTCTTAATAGTTTCTCCTGATTTGCACTTACAAACCCTCACTTGTTTTTGGCAGCACTCGTAAACCCTAAAGTTTTTAAAATTTGCACTTATATATCCTAAAATTTTTAAACTGACACTTAATGCCCTAAAGTTTTAAAATTTGCACTTAAATACCCCCAAGCTTGCATAAGCGAGGGTATTAGAGTGCAATTTTTAAAAACTTTTAGGTATTTAACTGATGCCAAACAAGTGAGGATATATAAGTACAAGTTTTAAAATTTTAGGGTACACACGTGCTATCAAAAACAAGTGAAGGTATATAACTACAAAGTAGGGAAACTAAAGGATACTCAAGTGCAGCTATTTTCTAGATATTAGTCCCTTAAATTACAGGTATTTTTATAATAGTTCCTCAAATCTTCATATTTTGATATTAGTCGCTCAGATTGTGCTCAAATTGTGTTAAATTGCATAAATGTGTTGATGTTAGTCCCTGTGATTTGTTAGGGTTATAGATGCAGTAGAATATTCCGTTATCTTTCACCATTGCATTTTTTCGGCAGTAATGCCTCTTACCAACCTAAAGCCATACCCAGTTAAAATCAAACCCGTTAACATCTGCGTAAAACTCATGCCCATTTTCTCTTTCTTCTTTCACAACTGTAAATTTTCAAGCTAACCCTAAGGGTGTATATGGATTTCATTGGGGTAGGGGAAGTTAAGGGAAAATAGGGGAGAGAAGAAAAGGAAAAGTAAGTGAATTCGCTTCTTCTAGATTCCATCCCAATTTAGGAGGAAGATATTTATATTGATTGTAGGGTAATCCAGGAGAATGAGGGGGGGGTCCACTTTCCCTTCTAAAAACTTTCCAAACAGGTTAATAGATTCTGCTACGTTCCCTTCTTCTTTCTTCCCCTTTATCTAAACGGACCCTGAAACAACAGCTCTATCCAGATAGTAACATTTAAAGAGGATAATCATCACAACTAATCTTCAAGTGTAAACTCATTATTTCTCTGCGTCCCGCCCTTGCATGATTACTAGAGTTACCCAGTTTAGCTGATAATTCCTTTGCCTTCACTCCGCTTCCTTCTCCAGACATGAATCATCCAAGTCTCCTCACCGCCTCATGCACGACAATCAACAAAATCCCAATCGTAAGACTTACCAAAATATTCACCGTCGCTTTCGTCAACAACAAGAGCACAAGCGTAACACTTAAACAATCCAAACTGGAACAGACAGAGGAGGAGGGAGAGAGAGGAATGAATATTAGTTAACAGAGTGACTAATAGCAGCAAACTACTGCAATTTCATGGATTAATATCAAAATATGAAGATTTGAGGGACTAATATCAAAATACCTATAATGTAAGGGACTAATATCAAACTGTAATCTTTTTCAACCATGTGATGCATATAAGGAATAAGAGGAAACATCGTTGCAGCTTCAGTTCTCTTTTCACTGGAAATGCTCTGGCAATGTAAGATTCTCAGTCACAAGGTGAAGGAACATGAGAAATTATCTCAAAAGCAAGGCGCATCCTTGTAATACACTCTTTTTTTTGTTAATGTGCAATATGATCTTCCTCTTATGATATGCTAATCCTTTATTTTGAAGTCTGTGGTATCTTTTTGTTTTGGATATTGCCGCATTAATTTTTAATTTTGGTTATTGCCGAATTAATCTTCAATTAAAAATGTTGCATGTATCTGTAAGGTGCAGTGATTTTATTCTCTGTGGGGTTTTTTTATTCTTCATTTATGTGACTTTAACTTAAGCAGCACAAGAACATTCTTATATAAAATTGTGTATATATTGCAATCCACTTTAACGATTATGTTAAATAAGAAACGAGAAGAATTCAAATTTGCTTAAAAAAATATTTATAGATTGTTAGATAATGATATTATGTCAGTCCTCTGTTTTATCTAAACCTTGTCTTGTTTATAATATACTTGTTCTCGTTTTTTAACTCTTTTAAATCCAATATTTGACAAAAAATAAATTAAATATTATTCCGATGAGTTTTGTCTGTGTGTTGTGATCATAGGATCATTATATATTACTTGTAGGTCCTTCTATCTGATAAGGGGCTGTTTGTTTCACCCTTTTATAGAATAGGATTAGTATTTGGGCTCTGACAGTGGCATTTTCGTAATTTTTGGATTCTTTGTGAATCCTATTCTGGAGTTTGGCTCAGCAAAAATTTTGGGATTACAATTTCTATAAAGTAGCTACAGTTGTCGTTTTTTATAGAAACCCAAATCCGAGCTTTGGGTTCGGATTTGGGCGAGATTTCTGACAGTGAGCTATGTCGTCGATTCCGATTCCTCATCTTCACGATTTCGATCCCTAGATCTGGAATCGCTGTGCCGCTCCCGCCTCAATCGCCCTCTTCTTCGCGCCTCTGCTCCCGCGCTTCGTCTTCTTCAACTTGGGTTCTTTGAAGCATATGAGAAATAGAGGCACACAGCAATTTCGATGATTTGTTCGATTAATTTCATAATATTACAGCAAAATAATTCATGCGGGTCTCTGTGTAGTGGATTTTTTGTAAATTTGCAAGAATTAGGTTGTTAGGTACATTAATTTCATGCGGATATCCGATTTGGGCGAGATTAATTTCATAATATGTTTCAAATCAGTCTTTTAATAACTTAAATTGCTGTTTTTTTTACTTTATTTCATTTTTTGTGTGCGTGTAAATTATTAGTAATCTAACCATATAGTTTGTTTGTTTTGGGTCTATCTTGCTTGTTTAGAATTGTGTGAGATGGAATGCAACATTAGTTAAAATAATTTATTATTGCAATTAGATTTCTTGCTTTAAAAGAAATAAATATTTGTATCAATTATCTACTTAATTTTGACAAGAAATAAGTAGCCATCTTAAGCTGTAACTGTATGATAATTTTAAAACGGTTGTAGATGGATATGGAAGATGAGGAAGAATTGAAGAGGATGTGTGCTAATACAGCTGTCTGCGCCGTGGTCACTTTGGTAACATGTATTTTGAGAATGCGTGCTAAGCGCAAGAGAATATCAACTTGTACGAAGCAAGAAAGGATCAGAAAAATATATTGTAGAGAGGCTCACTTCAGACGTGTACTGGAGGGCTATCAAGATAGCTGCCAATCTTATATTAGAATGAGACCGAGGGCCTTTTTTAAACTTGTTGAAGTAATGAAAGCAAACAGTTTATTAAAAGATACGAGACATGTTCAAGTTGAAGAACAGCTTGCTATGTTCCTGAGTATTATTGGGCACAAAACTAAAAATAGAATAATAAGAACTGAGTTCATAAGATCAGGGGAAACAGTTAGCAGGTATTTCAATAAAGTCTTGTCTGCAATGAATGGATTACGTGATCGGTACATGAAGCAAGCCCCAAAAGAAGTTCCCGAGGAGATTGCAAACAACTCAAATTATTTTCCGTACTTTAAGGTAAATTAAATACATACAACTTAATAATTTTCCAAATAAACTTTTTTTTATTTAACTATGTATAATTTATAATTTTTTATAGGACTGCATTGGTTTGATAGATGGCACACACGTCGACGCGGTGTTACCTAGTGACCTAGTTGCACGGTTTAGAGGGCGAAAAGGGGTCACCCAAAACATCTTAGCAGCCTGCACCCCCAATAAACTATTTACTTATGTCTTGGCTGGCTGGGAGGGGGCAGCAAATGATTATAGGGTATTACAAGACGCCCTGTCCAGACCACAGCCTTACGGGCTCCGAGTTTATGATGGTATTCATTCTCACTTGTGCACATTATGAATAATATATTAAATACTTGGCAATATTTGAGATTTTAAAATACTGTTTAATTAATGTAGGTAAATATTACCTATGTGACGCTGGATACACCACAATGCCAGGTTTCATATCCCCGTATCGCGGTGTCCGATATCATTTAAAGAGCACACCGGTAGGACACCAAAGAATAGGAAGGAGTTGTTCAATTTAAGGCATTCATCTTTAAGATCAAAAATTGAGTGCACATTTGGGATACTGAAGAATCGGTTTAAAATTCTTGCGGGGAAGCCGAATTATCCATTTCCCACTCAAGTGGACATTGTACTAGCGTGTACTGTGTTGCACAACTTTATTGCCTTGGAGGATCCGGATGATGATATTTTAAATGAAAAGGTTGAAATTGATGAAGATACTGGGGAAGAGACAAATGAAGACGATTCAAATGTGGTGGACTATACTCAAAGTAGGTCACAAAGAGAGGATCGAGATGTTAGAAATGAATGGAAGGAGTTACGAGATCAAATTGCTTGGGCGATGTGGGTGGATTATTGTGCAGAGTACAATGGTGGTAACACAATGGAGAGCGGTTTAACTTAGTGTGGTATTTGTCCTATGGCTATGTAATAACTTGGTGGATTTTAACATACTGTTCGCATCGATATCGTTTATTGTTTCTTTGCTTGTAACAAGCCATTACTACTTTTATCACTTGCTATTTTGTTATGTTGTTTGAACTAGAAATATCATCGTTTACTATATTCCCTGCTAAATGCATACATATCCCATATTGTTTTATATTTCTTTATTGTTAATATGGCTATGCTTACAAAATATATTAGGTATGGCTAACAATCCGGCAGATAAGCAAAGCGTGCCTTCTCATTCGAATGCAATGCCAAGTCCTACATCAGGGATTAACATGAACTACATGCCTGTTCGACCACAGCCATTCACCTCACCTCCGCATACTTTCTCACCATTCCCACCATGGGATGGTAATTATGGTGGGATGACACAGCCGCCAATGTCATACATGAGCTTGTTAGGCAGTCCACAAGGTTTGATGTTTCCCACAGCCAGTTCTCAAAGTAGTGGACCTAATCAATTTTCACCAAACACCGGTGATTCAGTTGGAAAGGATATTCATGACGTTGATGGTGCGGAGCACACTTCGCCATTGAAAAGAGGGAAAAGATTAGCACACAAAAAAAAAGTTCCGTGTACCAGGTTGAACTCAAGAGGCGTGGCTAATAAGTTTTGGCTTCCAGAGCACGATGATGTGCTTATTCCTTATCTTGCAGATTTAGCATTGGATGGCATGAAGCCAGACAAGAACTTCAAGGCTGAAGCTTATAAAATGGCTGCCATGAAAATCAACATGCAATTCAGGACTGATTTCACTCACCTGCATGTCATTAACCACTTGAAATGTTTGCGGAACAAATTCAATGACATGAAAGCTTGCCTTGATATAAGTGGTGCTGGGTGGGATGAAACAAGTAAAATGATTACATTGGATGAGGAAACCTTGAAATCTTGGGCCCAGGTATAACAATTCAGCATCTATCTTGTCACATTCAATTTAATACATTTGATTCTCTGGATTTATAAGTATTTATTATTGCAGGACAAATCCAATTCTAAGTACAAAGCATACATAAACAAACCCCTTCCTCACTTCAAAAATTTACAAGTTATCATGGGTGATGATCAAGCCAAGGGTGATTTTGTTAGACCCGTGTACGCTAACATTGGGTCTAGTAGGTCCATACCTATTCCCGATGATGATTGCGAGATTCTAGAGGAGAGTGAAACTGAACCACAGTCTGATGCTTGCAACCAACCACGTTCTGGTGCTGTTAACCAACCACAACCCACTAGATATAAGACTAAGAGTAAAGACAACATGACTTCATCATCTAACAAAAAAACCAGAAAATCTAATCGTGAAGAGGAAATGCTATGTGCCTTTGTTGAGTCCATGTCTCAGTCAATGAGAAATCAACACGTTATACACTGGACTGAGCAGTTGGCCACAGCGTTGAAGGAACATAGGTCTGAATATTCCGAGGAGTTCCTCGATAGGGTTTTAGACCATTTATATGACAATGAACGTGAAGCTAGGAGGTTTTTCATAAAATCCAAGGAAAACAGAGGTACATCACAAAATTAGTTAACGACCAAGGTTGGCCGGATAGCTAGTTTGTTGGGTTTCGATTATATTACGTTCTGGATATTGTTGTGTTTATTGCAAACTATTAATGTTGCAATTTGTATTTTCATTCTGAAGAACATCTATGTTGTTGTGGGATTGTTGAATTGGTATATTTGCAATCTTTGTTGCAGGTAAGGTCGTGGAATGATCATTGATTTCTTTGAATTTTCCGATTATATTTTGATATCAGGTAAGCTTTCTGCAGCTCATGCTGCTGCTGCTGTTTGGGTGAGCTCATGTTTTGAGCTTTCTGCAACTCATGCTGCTGCTGGTTGCTGGTTTGTGCCTGTTTTGAGTTTTCTGCAGCTTTCTGCAACTCATGCTGCTGCTGGTTGCTGGTGGGTGCCTGTTTTGAGTTTTCTGCAGCAGTTGCTGCTGCTGGTTGCTTTGTGCAGCATTTGCTGCTGCTGGTTGCTGGTTTTTGCCTGTTTTGAGTTTTCTGCAGCAGTTGCTACTGCTGGTTGCTTTGTGCAGCATTTGCTGCTGTTGGTTGCTTTGTGCAGCATTTGCTGCTGCTGCTGTTTGCTTTGTGCAGCATTTGCTGCTGCTGCTGTTTGCTTTGTGCAGCATTTGCTGCTGCTGGTTGCTGGTTTGTGCCTGTTTTGAGCTTTCTGCAGCTCATGCTGCTGCCTTTGTTTGTGCAGCATTTGCTGCTGCTGCTGGTTGGTTTGTGCCTGTTTTGAGCTTTGTGCAACTCATGCTGCTGCTGCTGGTTGGTTTGCCTTGCCTGTGGTTTTCCTTGCACTTGATATGTGGCAATGATGATGATCAACGTTTACTGAGAATGCAACCTAACTTACATCGTTTATTATATCCAGATGAGGCAATATTTGAGATGAGATTGCAGCCTACATTGAATTGGCAATGTCTAGGCGAGGCAATTCATCTTTATAATGCAATCTGTAATAAACATGTTTAAGTTATAGGTGGGGCAATCAATGATGATAAGTTGATCTATTACTGAGCCATACAATATCAATAAGAATTTGTACCCAGTTCAAACAACAGATTTCATTACATCCTCAGTAGTTTTTGCAAGTACAGGTACATGACATGAAGTTTGTAATAATTAAAATAACACAAAAAAATTGCTAAGAAAATTGCAGAAATTTTCCAAACTAGTAGTTGATTTTCGACAAGTCTCAATTCTTTCTTCAGCTTCTTTGATTGCAAAATATATTTTTCTCCGTACCTATTTTCTTTGACATATTGGCTTCCTTGGTTGCTTGATGACTCTCCTCTTTCTTCAGCCCATTCGAAAAAATTGCATTCTTTATTTGGGAATTTTGCACACCCCCAATAACACCTACCCTTATTTTTACCATTCTTGCACACTTTCATCGGTGTTCGGAGATGGCAGTCGCAATAAACTTCATAATCCTGCCAGCACTCTTCTGATATCATTTTCATGTCGGGACAGCAAATTGAAGACAATGGGGATTTTATAAATGCTGAAATTGAGAATGTTTGGAATAATTGTGAGGCCTCAAGGTGAATTTATAGCCACCATGTTCCACTTCTAGCCGTTGCTACAGTGTTCTGACTAAGAATTTTAAAATCTGAATTTTTTGAGGCTGAAAAGAGCCGTTGCTACAGTGATTCCAGCACAAAATATGAAATTATGCCTCTTCTTGCCGTTGCTACAGGAATATTTAAATTGATAAAGAGGCTGCTGTTGCTACAGTGTTTATTCCCAAAAAAAGAGACTTTTTGAAGCAAACATGGTATTAGGGATTGATTCCAATTCTATAAATGTTAGATTCCTAATCCTTTGGGAGAAACAAACATAGAATGCCAAAAAAATAGGATTCCATAAAACTTTAACTTGTCTATAAAAATTTTATGGATTAGGTTGGAATCCATAAATAAAATAGGATTCCTAATCCTATTCCTACACTCTATTGAACCAAACATAATTGGACGTTAATGATATCTGGATTTTGGGATTCTGATGATGTGCTTTGACTATTCTTTGTTATCCTCGTGCAATTATTAAATAAAATTATAAACATATATCGGCTATCAACGTCAGGCTATTGTCCACTGGAAATTTCCAGTCTTATGTGTATTTTTTTATTGGCTATGAAATTTCCAGGTATGGTATATTTTATGCACGCATGTTGTTTGGACCTTCAACAAGAGTTGCTGCATGCTTATGTTCATAGATGCAGGCGTAATGCGTTTTCTATGATATTTTCATTAGACAGATTTATGACTATGCTAACTAAAGATAAAGACTAATAGAGTTAACTTTCTTCATGCTGAATTTAATATATGTTGCCATTTTGAAAAGTGTTGAAGAAAATTTATGTGATGGAAGAAAGTAGCTTCTTGTTGAAAAAAGTTACTATAAGGTGCTGTTTGGCAAATGGTTAAGTGAGGGGTTAAGAAGATTTAATCTCTTCTTAATTGGCTAAATACGAAAAAATCTATACAAGGGTTAAAGTGAGTTAACCCTCCATAATTTGGGAAGCACAAAAAATACAGAAGGGTTAAGCTAACATCTCTAGAGGGATTAAAATGAGTGAACTCCTCAAAATGAGGGATTTACTAATGCTTCTATTTAGAAGGACTAAGAGTTAACATCTCTAATTATAAAGAAAATAGTGAAAATTCTTGTTATTCCCAAATACTAAAAATGATCACAATGGCTAAAATTAGATAACAGTTTAATAATTTAGTCCTTTAAATTTTTGAATGGGCTTACTATATTAATACTTCTCCTTAAACCCTCTTCCTTAACCCTTTACCAAAAGAGGCCGAAGTGTTTAATTAGTTAGTCCTCTCGTTTTATAAATTGGTTATACCCTGTCCATCTGAAGAATTTGAGACCAGTCATTGACCGTTTTAATCATCAAATGTTACCATAATTCATTTGATTTCTAGTTTAAATTAGAGGGGCATTTAAGATTTGTTAGAACATAAAATACAAACTTTAACACTCACCATCACTTTGAAGTTTTGGTGTAGTTAGAGGGACTTTAATATGATATCAGAATGACTCGGGTTCAAATTCCATCGGTCACGAATTCGAAAAACGGACTTTATAAAATTAACATTGTTGTGTAGGTAGTATGTACAGGTTTCGACTCATGAAAAGGGCGCTTTACTAGTGGGGCATGTTAGAACTTTGAAATAACCTCACCACAATTTCAGAATCTTAGTATAATGGATTGAAAGACTTTAACAAGATTAACATATATAAATATAAATTAAAAAATTACTTGCGTTCTGCATTGAGGCATTATTACTGTTTGGCTTGCTGCAGCTACAAGGATTGCAAACGCACGTTGGAATATCGAATATTACTCACAGTTGTTTGCATCGAAACTAATCATATAACTAATAAATGTAGGTGCAATTGCATTCATTAAAAAAAGAGCCTTCAATTGCAATCCGACTTGCACGTGTTTAGACATAAATTGCAGTTGCAGATAATATACAAGTTAATTAATCACTGATGATATCTCATAAATTACCAAATTAAGTTAAAATCAAGACAAGTTAAAAGATTGAATAATAATGTGATTCGCAGCTAATCAAAGAAGAATACGACGAACGGGAAAGAAAACCAAAGTACGTAGTCTGGACAGAATACATCATGGGTTACTTCATCCTATAAACACACACCACAAACAAACAATTCCTCAACGTGGTCAAAACCCCGCGCCATTCAACCACGACCGAATATTATTCCCTCCACAAAAAAACCTCAATCCCGCTCTCTTCTATAAATAACCCCCCCCCACTCTTTCTCCACCCAAAACTCAAACATCGCCAATTCCAAATTTTAGAGCACGGTTTAATATGAGCGAGGCGCTGCACCGAGAATACTCGGTCGGACCCGAGCTCCTCCGTCTCCACCGGCGATCACTTCGCCGTGAAATCCATCAACAAGCTCCTCATCTCCGACCCCTTCGACCTCTCTTGCATCGCCGCCGAGCCCAAACTCACCCTCCTCGCCTCCAGTGGGCCCCACACTGTCAACCTCCACGCCGTGTATGAGGACTCTGCATCCCTCCACCTTGTCCTCGACCTCTGCTCCGGCCCTGATCTCCTCGGCCTCCTCTGTGACCGGGCCCCGCTCTCCGAAGCAGAAGCCGCCTCAATCCTCGCCTCCATAATGCAGGCCCTCGCCTGCTGTCACGTGCGAGGGCTCGCACACAGAGACTTGAAGCCTGAAAACATACTTTTTGATAATAATAGTGCGGGTCGGCCCAAACTATCCGATTTCGGCTCTGCAGGCTTATTCAGCATCGATAAGAAAATGTCGGGTTTGGTGGGGACTGCGCATTACGTGGCGCCGGAGGTAGTGAGGGGGGAGGAGTACGGGGAGAGGGTCGACGTGTGGAGTGCCGGGGTTCTGTTGTACGTGATGCTCAGTGGGGTCTATCCGTTCGGGGGTGAGGACGTGAGCGAGGTTTTCGGTGCGGTTTTGAGGGGGAATTTGAGGTTTCCGACGGGTATTTTTGGCGGGGTTTCGAAGGAGGCGAAGGATCTGATGAGGAAGATGGTGTGCAGAGATCCAGTGAGGAGGCTGTCGGCGGAGGCAGTGCTCCGGCATCCCTGGATCAAGAGTGGTGGTGGAGTGAAAGAGCTTTGAAGATGAGGCCGATGAGTGTTTTTGTTTTTTGTTTTTTAGGTGTATACTTGTGAAATTATCTTGCATATAGATGAGTATAAATGTGAATGTATTTTGTACACGATCATCCATTTCAACGAAATTGAGATGAGTATTCTTTAATAACTTTTACGACACCATATCAACTTTGAAGTTCTGGATAAGTTTTGAGTTGATGCTATATCAACTTTGAAGTTGTGGTAAAGTTTTGAGTTAATAATGTAAATGTGAAACCGCGTGAAGAGGTGAACGCGGGTGCAGGCCAAGTGCAGGCCCACCCGAATATATATTGAAGCTATAAATATAGCTTCTTCGTGCCCTAGGTGGTGTGCAAGAAAAATAAAAGGTCGGCTGTTTTTTTTATTCTTCCTTTGGCAGCGTGCAAGGCAGAGAGTTCGTGCAAGCAGGTGGAGAAAAATTGCAACGGCTTTTGTTAGGGTTTTGATCATCCTTTGGTGGAGATATTTGCGAGGGATTTGAGAGTGTGTGTGAGGGTTATTTGTGAGATCTTGTGTGATTGTAAACCCTATTTGTATTCTCTTTCTCTAGTAGTAAATCTCCCCCCACATTGCCCCGTGGACGTAGGCTATTTGCCGAACCACATAAAATTGGTTGTCTCGCTGGTTGTGTGATTTGTAATAGCTTACTTAGGTTCCCTCGACAGGTCAGTCCTAGAACTGATGAGAGGAAGAGCTGATATCCCACTTTGTTGAGATATTTTGCTTAAGGTTCTTGTTTTCTTGGGAAAATAAGAATTTCTATTGCGACATGACTCTCTTGTTGTGCTATCGAAGTGCTGTCAAATTTTTTGCTGCGCGCAACAAGTGGTATCAGATCCCGGATTTCAGATCTAGGGTTTTTGGAATTAGGTGGAGGAAGATTCTTGTGTGAAGCATGGTTCTTGGAGTTCTAGACTTCGGTGAAGATAGCATTAGGAGTTGCCGTTAGAGTTTTCGCTTTCCTCATGTGGACAGGAGATCTATTTGGAATCTGATCTAGGTTCGGTTGGGTAATTCTTAATTTCTATCAAAGTTTGATTCTTTCTTTACAACTTGGAGTTAGTTTGTAATGGGAGAAGAAGGTGAAAGCAGCAAGTCGATGGTGAGTACAGTTCAAGTTGGTTTTCAGAACACCAAAATTAGTGTGGTGAAGTATGACGGTAAAATCAACTTTGGTTTGTGGATGAGCGACGTACAAGATGCGCTTAATGCTCAGAACTTGGAAGAGACCAACAAAGAGATATATCCTATATGGTGAAATATATGCAAGGATATATAAACAACACAAGGGTAAACAATCAAAACTAAAGATATAATTATGATAGGGCAATATAAACAATGCAAACACACAATATGATCATGGAGTTCGGACCTTCCGTCCTATGTCTCCGCTCCCCACTCCCGGGGAGAAATCTACTATCACAACCGGGTTTTCTACGCTCACCCGAATAACGTTTACACCACACAATATCGGTTTTCAACGCTCACTGATCAACGTTCACAATCTTAGAACTAACACATCAGGTTTTCTACGCTTACCCAAAAAACATTCACACCTCATAATACGGTTTTCTAGCTAACTAAAAACTCTACAACACACAATTGATCTCCACGAGATCACACTCACAATTAGACACGAATACAACAAATTTGTTCTCTACAATAGATGAGAACTCAATGTCAGCTCACACTCAATGTCACAATCCCACACCCCAAATAATATTATGAATGTAAATACAAATAAGCTCAATGTGAGTGTGTGTAACAATGAGATTATCAATCATAAACTCAATGTAAATCCTACCTTGATAAAAATGATAAACAACAAATAATTAATATAAAACTAGTATTGAGTTTAGAAATTTAAAAATGATAAACAACAAATAATTAATATAAAACTAGTATTGAGTTTAGAAATTCTTCTCTGAAGAAACAAGATGGAGAGATAAACAAATAATTAATATAAAACTAGTATTGAGTTTAGAAATTCTTCTCTGAAGAAACAAGATGGAGAGATAGATTAAAATGAAGCTCAAACAATGTAGATGATCTCCTCCACTTGTAAGAAACTTCTTCACAAACAAAACTCTTTTAAACACACTAAACAAACTTTAAAACCCTTATTAAACTTGTTTAAAATATTTCTTGAGTTTATTTGAGAGTAGAAGGTAGTAGGGTATTTATAAGAAGAGAAGGTATCAGCCAAAACCCAGAGAAATCCAACAAAAATCTCACAAAAACTAAAAAAAAGATTCTGTACAAAACTAGCCGTTTGACAGTCTGTCAGTCGACTGACGGGCGCCGCCAGTCGACTGATAAGTTGAACATCGTATTAAATACGAGCTTATCGGTCGACTGAAAAAGTCAGTCGACTAGTCAGTCAATGAAAACAGAACAGAGAGCAAAATGAACATTCTAGACACTTTCTTCGGTCGACATATCAGTCGACTGATTTCATCAGTCGACTGATCAGTCGACTGATAACAAGTTATCAGTCTGACATGGAAGTAAGTTTCAATGCTCTGTTAAAAATAGTAAATAAATTCCAAAAAATATAAAACTTTGGGAAATAATTGTAGACATGATAATGAACATGCTACAAAGACTGGTTTTCAAAAAGCTATTATCATTTGTAAAATATCATCATTTTGCAAATAAGTCCAAAACATGAAACTGTAAACACATGAATTTTGACATTTTGGCTAAACCATGTTTTGAAGCTTTACAAAATGATTTTGTAGACTTAATAAAATATGTATATGATTATAGTTAAGTCTAAGAACCGAGAATATAATATTTTTATAAAATTACATATTCTATGCAATATATTCTTAAACACAATAGAATATGAAACAAATGAAAATGTGAAAAACTTTATTTGTTGTTTCATATCTATGTAGCTAAACCAAAACACAATAATAAATGTGAAATATGTAATTTCATATTTGTAAACATGAAAACCAAAACTTGTGTTGTATATATATATAACTACATATATATACAAAGAAACCAATAAAATATGTGTGTATAAATGATTGAGCTTAAAGTACTTAACACACATAATATAAACACCTAAACTAAATTATCCAAGCTTGATCTTAATCTTCAATAAGCTTGACTTGGTACACTTGCGGATGAAGCTTGAACTTGAATCTTCAACTTGAATGTACATAGCTTCATACCATAATTCCGCCAACCTCTATTGGATATGATCGTGAATGCGCAATTTTATCCATCCTCCGACTCGTTGTTTGTCTATAATAAATAAAAATACACAAACACTAGACAAACAACATTAGTGGTAAATTGTTTGTTAAACATCATCAAAACAAAGAGGCTAATACATGAGAGACCACCAAAATATGAAGAGACGATATGGGAAAAGATGAATATGAACGCTTGTGGGGTGATCAGGTCTTGTTTGGAACAGGAGCTGAAGTATGATGTGATTGGGGTGACGTCTGCGATGAAGATGTGAGAAATTCTCAACAAAAAAGTACCTTACGAAGAGTGTTGAGAATATGTTGCATTTGTTGCGTAGGTTATTCAGATTCCAGATGTCCAGAAGCACCTCGCTTGCAGCTCATGTGAACAACTATACGAAGTTGTTGTCAGACTTGGCAAATATTGATGAGAAGATTTCGGATGAGTACAATGCTATCATCTTATTGGGCTCCTTATCGGATGAGGATTATGACTCCTTTGTGCTCACTTTGTTGAACGGGAGATCTTCTATAAGCTATAGTGAAGTTACTAAAGCTTTGACGAGCTACGATTTGAGGAGAGGAAGGATAAGAAGACTTCTCGTGCTAGTATTTCAGACGAGGCATTGTCGATGAGAGGTAGAAGCCCATATCCGAAATGTGGTAATAGAGGGAGGTCAAAGTCAAGAAACCGCCACTAACTAGCAAAGAACCAATACACATTTTGCAAAGAGCAAGGACATTGGAAGAGAGACTGCTCGAAGCTCAAGAAGAAGAAGAATGGCAAGAAAAAGGGCCCGAAGGCCAATGAGGTGAACGTTGCGAAAGGCGATGATTCCGATGATTCGAGCTTTTATCTATTGATTACTCAGGAGGTGAACCACTTGGATGCATCAGATTGGATGCTTGATTCCGACGCTATCTATCATGTGACCCATAGGCGAGATTGGTTTGTATCTTTTGAGAAGCTCGATGGGGGAGTTGTAGTCATGGGAAATGATCAATCCTCTGGCATTTGTGTGATATGTACTGTGCGGATCCGGATGCACGATAGAGTAGTTCGTGAATTGAAGGAGGTGAGATTTGTTTCTCAGCTGAAGAAGAATCTTATCTCAGTTGGAGCTTTGGAGGCAAAATGATTCAAGGTGACTTTTGAAGACGCTGTAGCGAAGGTTACTAAGGGATCTTTGGTGGTGATGAAGGGAGTCCGCATTCAAAATTTATACTATCTGAAGGGGAGCACCGAGATTGGCCAGGTTTCTTCGGCTATTTCAGAGGCGGACATGAGCAGGCTTTGGCATTATAAGTTGGGGCACACAGGCAAGAAGTCACTGCAGGCGCTGTGCAAGCAGGGGCTATTGAAGGAAGCCAAGAGTGGTAAAGTGGAATTCCGTGAGTACTGTGTTCTTGGTAAAAAGACGAAGGTAAAGTTCAGGACTGCTATTCATAGGACGAGGGGTATCCTGGACTACGTGCACATAGATGTTTGGGATCCTACTAAGACTGCATCACTTGGTGGTCGATAATTATTCGTCACATTCATAGATGACTATTCTAGGCGTTGTTGGGTATACACCATGAAGCATAATAATGAAGTCCTAGATTTGTTTGTGGAGTGGAAGAAGAGATTGGAACTGCAGATTGGGAGAAAGATCAAGACGTTACGATTCGACAATAGTGGTGAATATACTTCAGACCCCTTTCTGCAGCTATGTCGAGACGAGGGCATAGAGAGACATTTCACGGTTAGTCATACATCGCTGCAGAATGGGATAGCAGAGAGGCTAAATCGGTCTTTCCTGGAGAAGGTCCGATGCTTA